GGTTTGTGCTCTAGGGTTTGGGGTTTAGGGGTTTGGGGTTAGGGGTTTAGGGTTTGGGGTTTAGGGTTTTGGGGTTTGAGGGTTTGGGGTTTAGGGGTTTAGGGGTTTGGGGGTTAGGGGTTTAGGGTTTTAGGGCTTTGGGGGTTTAGGGTTTAGGGGGTTTAGGGTTTTAGGGTTTAGGGGTTTAGGGTTTAGGGGTTTAGGATTTAGGCTTCGGCCCTGCACCTAGAAGTCATTTGGGCACCTCGAAGTCCGCATTTGCAAAAGGCATCCCCGCAATCGCCCTAGACATCAAGGCCCAAGCTTCACACACCCCGAACCCGTATTTTGGGAGCTGAGTAATTACCTATACTATTTTGGGGGCTCCTGATTCTTATAACTATAGTATATATTCACACTCAACCCTCTTCGAAATTATTCTAAAGCCCCTACACTAGCCCCTGCACCCCTAGCCCTTCCAAAGCGCCCATACCAAAAAAAGGTGAAAGGAGTGTCTCCTAAACCCTAAACCCTAAACCCTTAAACCCTAAACCCTTAAACCCTAAACCCTAAACCCTCAACCCTAAACCCTAAACCCACAAAAAAAGGTGAAAGGGGTGTCCGGCGGGCAGCGGAAGCGCGTCTCCATTGCGATGGAGTTCGTGGCGAGGCCTGGGCCTTTCGTCAACTTTTGGAGGTTCGGCCCCGGTTTAGGGTTTAGGGTTTAAGGGTTTAAGGGTTTAGGGTTTAAGGGTTTAGGGTTTAGGGTTTAAGGGTTTAGGGTTTAGGGTTTAGGGGCCCCCGAGTTACCGAGAGATATAGATTTAGTGTGTAGGCCTCGGGTTTTATAGGGCAGTAAGGGGGTCAAGTTGATTTTTCCGTGATTCAGGGGTTTTCGGTGCAGTTTTCTGGGGTTTTGCCTCCCATATCCCGGAGGCAAGCAGGGTCAATGCTCCCAGTCCAAAGCCCCCCAAGGCTCGACGTTCATGCCGAACTCCGTAAGCTTTCGGCTTCGCTTCTTGCTTCCGCATGTCCTCAGCTTCAAGATCTCCGACGTACCCTACATAATATGGGAAGCCCAGACCAGTTGGTAACACTGTGGCCTTACTTATGCACCCCTATATGATGATGCGCATTATGATATACTCCAGCACACCCAAAGTCTGAACGGACCTACACCCTAAGTAAACCTCAAGGCCTAAACCCTAAACCCTAAGAGGACCCTAAACCCCCAACCTCACGGCCTTAAACGAGCTTAAGTTGGAGACCTTTCGCTCACTGCTTTCCTTTTGACGCCTTTCTTGAATAAACCCTAAACCCTAAACCGTATTCAAGCCGTGGAGGCCCTCACTGCTCTTTCTCGATGAGCCGACAAGCGGATTAGCGGCCCGGAAGAACTTTGGGGGGGTATTTGGGTTGTGGCCTTGAACCCGGGGGTTAGGGTTATAGGGTTATAGGATTTTTAGGGTTTAGGGTTATAGGGTTTAGGGCCTAGGGGGTCCTTCCCGTCAAAGACCTCAAAGACCTACCTTAAAACCCAAAGTCCTAACGCCTACATCCTCAAATCCCCCAAAACCTTGTGGTGCCCTTCTAGTGGCCCCTCATAATGCTCTTGTAGCTAAAGCCTAAACTTATACTGTTATGGTGCCCTTCTGCGACCTTTACAACACCCCTCTTCTGGAATCCTTTCACCTAACCCCGAGTCGCCGGACCGGCTTCGAGGCATTAAGCCCTACTGTTAATGATATAAATCCTGCATGACCTTAAGGACCCTAAACTATGGGAATAATGGTATATTCTTTGTTCTGGGTTAATGCAGTATTTATACATCATCAACCGTATAAATCCTAAAGCCTAAATCTAAAGCCTACTGTAAACCCTAAACGGCCCTAAACCATGTCAGCAAAGCTACGAAGCTCTGGTTTTGTCGAAGTGGCTGAGTTGGGAACTGTTGACCCTCTCGGGCTTAAACATAACCCTCAGCCGACAATCGGAGCAAAAATACCCGGTGTCTCCAGACTTGGAGTTTCCCCAGAGCCATGATAAAAAGGAGCCGAGTGCAGTATAGAGGTTAAGGGTTTAGGGTTTAGGGTTTAGGGGCCATGATAAAAAAAGGAGCCGAGTGCAGTCACCCGTGGAAGCCGGTCGCCAGGTCTTCAGACAGAATTCAGGAAGTGGAATGACCTTAAACCCGCAAACCCTCAAGATGCGAGTGTTTTGGTCTCCCTCGGACACAGGGCTAAATTTAGTACAATAGACTCACAACAGACCTTTGGTTTGGTAGGGCCAAGTGGCAGATGCTGGGATTTAGACTTTGACGCTGGACGCACTGCTAGTATTAGCGGTCTAGGTGTTGCAGGTTTGCATTGTTTATTAAGTGCAGTGGTACGGGATCCCTGCCTGTGCAGAGTCCATTAGGCTGGAAGGCGAGGGGTTGATGGGGGGTAGCAGCGAAGGTTTCTATGGAAGGGAGGTGCCAGGTGGAGCGGTAGAAGAGGGCAGGGTTCGTTTCGGCCGCTAGGGCCAGCTTTTCATATCTAGATCTGCTTTCGTTGCTGCACAATTTTGCTTTTAAGCCGCGTTCATGCGCTCACAGGGCTGACCAAGCAGTATCTTGAACAAAGAGACATACTCCAAGGAGCGGAATAGTTGTTTGTACATGGAGGACCTGCTCATGGGTCAGCAGTGCAGCCGCGTGCATTGATCCACATGTCCGTTGATGGCCTTGAGACGTGCCTGGGAGCCCCAGCTGAGCTTCCAGGAGTGAAAGCGGATGCTTCTAAAGCACCGTCAGAGAGCTCTGCATCGAATGGCTCCTGGGATGTTATCAACCCACATCTGGAGACTTACCTTCAGATCTTGGCATCGATGCAACCCACGCGGCCAGACATCGTCCGAGGGATTCCGGTGTGCCAAGCTCTGCAGCGCACGCCACGCATGTGGGCCCGTGGAGATCTCGACGCTCTCCATGCTTACAGCAAGGCGACGCTGGAAGTCGACGAGTTTTGGTCCCACAGCTGGCGCACGCAGGGGTGGCTGAAGTACATCAGCATACTTTTCTTGCACAACAGTTTCCCTGCCTCTGTGGTGGGCACACTCCTAGCCTCGGTATCTTTCGTGCTTTCTGCCGCTGATGTCCTTCCGCTGTGGTCGAAGATTAAAGCCGGCCCAAACGGATGGAGCGTCCTCACGGGTGCTGTGAGCTACTACCTGACTTTGCTTCTTTGGCGCGGAGGGAAGCTGGCTTTCCTTGACGTTGCCTGCATCAATCAGGTAGATGACCAGCTGAAGACTGAGGGCTTGGTCAGCATGGGTGCTATATTGAAGCGCTCCAAGTCGCTTCTCGTGCTCTGGGATTCCTCGTACACCTCCAGGCTATGGTGCATGTTCGCAGCTTGGTACTGGTAGCTCTTAACTGCAACTTTATTTGCTTCAAGGCTGTTGTGTTCAGCCGTTGGGGTATTCTGTAAACTTATAAGCAAGCCTTTAGCAAAGAGCAGCTGAGGAACTGGCTGCATTCCTACATGGCAAGGGTCCAGCTGCAGACGCAGAGAGGCACCTTCTGGTCTGCCCGGTCTTTGTCGGCCCGGCATTATTGCTGGGGAACCTTGGTTTGAGTCTGCTCCTTCTGGCTACGGAAGTTACGCAGCTGCCAACAATTCCTTGGGGTGCTATGATCATCTGTGGTCTCTTCTTCCCCTGCTTCACAGTGCTCGCATATGTGGTCCTCGAACACTGTCGCAGCGTAGAGGTGGTGCAGAACCAAGTCCGCTACTTCACCATTCAGCACGCTTTGTGTCACTGCTGTTCCTCCGGTCACACCGACCCTCACACAGGTGAGCCCATGATGTGCGACCGAAGCATTCTTATTCGATGCATATCATCTTGGTTTGGCTCCACCGAGCAGTTCGAGTCTCTGGTACGGCACCATGTGATGACAATATTGGTCCATCAGCTTGCAACTAAGAAGCTGAATGAGCGCACTTTAAACTCTTTGTGGGGTAATATGACTTCTTATAGAACCGAAAGTGTACACAATTTTTTAGCTTATGAACTCAGCAACTAAGGCAAATAACGTCTTTTCATATTGGCGCATTGTGCAAGCGCTCTGCCCTCTCTGTTGGTTCTTTCTCGACTTAAGCCTTTGGAGAATCGCAGAACAGCACGTGCCACTACAGCTGATGTTTGCAGCTGTGACATTTTGCGGGATGCTGATACCAAGCATAGTTTTGATTCTGCTCCGCGTGGCCTACAAGTGGCGTAACCTTGCCGCTGGCGTGTGTCAGCAGCTGATGCTGTCAGTGGGACTGGTAGCCGTTGGCATACTGCTCTTCGCGACACTGCTTACAGCAGACCGTGGGATTGTGCATCTCTCGTGGCATCTTTGGCGCGACCAAACTCCTGGTAGTGTCACCGTTTTGATACTTTCGAGCATCCTCAGTGTCTCCCTGTGGCGTTGCTTGCCTTTGATTGACACGCATAGTGCCCCTCCAGACACGTAGTGGGTGGCTGCAGAATGCGCCGGCAAGCCGTCAGACAGCTTTAATTGTTGATGCGTTTTAAGATGATGCTGTTGTGGCATCCTTATTGTTTAGAAGTCGCAAGCCCAGCACGCAGCCCTGCCAGATCTTGCCAGCATCATTGCTGCATCATTGCTGAGCATGAGCATGGCACGTCAACCACCTCGAACGAGGATTGTGTGCAGTGCAAAGATTCCCACGTGTGTATGAAGGGAGAAAACGCGAAGCGGCAGGCATGGCGCTTGGAAAGCCGGGGCTCAGCAACTAGATCGGGGATAAGCAATTTTATTAAGGGGACCAAACGGAGATACTTTTGATGATATCAATCCTGCATTACCTTAAGGACCCTAAACTATGGGAATTATGGTATACTCCTAAGAAATAGGTAATGCAGGACTTATATCATCAACCGTACTACGGATCATTGTACCGACCCGTAGACTGAGCGACGCTATCTGCCTGTGCACACAGGTTGGTTTTGGGTTTTAGGGTTTAGGGTTTAGGGATGTGACGCAGGAGGGAAAAGGCCGAGAAGTCGACTTGTTCCTCAAACCTACGCGCCCTAAACCGTAGCCGTAGCCATAATGACTTTTCCTAAACCGTATCTAGCGATTCGTGGAGCGACGGATCACGGCATGTGCTGCGCGTATCCCACTTGGATCAAGAACACCCCAAACCCGAATGTGCTGAGACCCGGTATCAAAAATCTGATCTATAGATACCTATGTGTAATCATACATATATGTGTATATACATATATATGTGTGTATATATATATATAAGTCTATGTATATATATATATATATACATTCACATCGACTATTATATATATATATGTATGTATGTATGTATTTATGCATGTGGGTTTCGGTCAGGGTTTAAGGTTTAGGAGATCAGGGTTTACGGCCTTCGTTTCAGGATTCCACCACCTCCCACTCCGTGGTGGACGTCGTGACGCAGGCTGCTAAGAAGCAGCGGTGCACCACCATTGCGCCTTGCCTCCGAGGAATCGGGAGGACCCATTATTCATGCATGGATCAAGGGAATCGGTAAGTAGTGTCGTAAACAAGGTAGTTGACTATAGTTGTGTTTACTGATAACACCACTTCGTAACCGAAGTAAGGTTGATCAGGGGATCCTTCTGAAGGAAAAGTCTTGGGGGAAGATCCCAACTTCCGGTATAAGAGGCCACAAGGGCCTTGAGTCATACTCAAGTCATACTCTGGCACAATAAACTCTATGCTCGGGCTGAGAGATCTACGCAGGCGTTTCTTGCATTTAGGGTTTGCTTGTTTATTGTCAGGGATCCAATTTCAAGTTTTTTGATGTCAAGTGTGCCTTTTTTGTACTACAGCTGGTTTAGGGTCCTGCATGACTCCCCCCATCTACGACACCGGTTGGGTCTTTTGGCTGTTGCTTGCCTAGTCAAGCAGATCGAGGCCGTTATCCACCAGCCTCGCTACGAGACGCTTCGGCTCTTCGACAATGTGATCCTACTTGCAGCCGGAGGCGCGCACTGAGGCTTTTGTAAGCACGAACAGATCTTGCTTCGGCAGATGTGATATGTTTAAAAGGCTTCATGAGGTGTTTGTGCAACAACACTCTGATTTGTGGAAGGGTCGGGTCTAGTGTTGTGAACAGGGGTTCAGGGCACAGAGGCTTCAAGCAACTCACGACCGAGCCCACCCCTCCCCTTCAACCGCCCTTTAATTTGAGTAGCTCTAGAAACCCCAAAACACCAAAATCGGAAAAAGCTCCCCCAAACCCCAAACCCCCGTACCAGCAAAAGCCCTAAACCCTAAACCCAAACGCCTCAAAAACCAAGCTCGGACCGGCTGAGTCTGAGGCTTCTTGGTGTACTCTGGACCCACAGGCGATGTCGAGCGCTACTTTTCGGATGTTCTTGGGGTGCGTTTCCTGCCCAAAGTGTCCCAGCTGCAACAAGGCTACACTACAGGAGTCTGGCTGAGAACTTTTGGGTGTTGCAGGGCTTACTATGACAATGCACGATAAACGGGATGCAGTTCCTGCTGTTCCTGCTGTTCCTGATATTGTGGGTTCTTGTTAAAAAACTGAATTTAAGTTACTGTAGTAGGGATATGTAGTAAATTTATATTGTTTCTCTATTATGGCAACTTAAGTTAAATCCCTCAGCAAGAACCCAGTATTTCAGGCTTGCTACATTGAGGCCTATGGGAGAAGCAAGGAAAGGCGCGAGATCTTCCCATGGGGATCAAATGGAAAAACAGGCCCACGTAGGGTCTTTATGCAGGAACTATACTCCTTTTGAGTGAAGATGCAAAGTTGACAGTAGCTCATGTTGTGAAGGTTCTCAGAAGGGCTGAAGGAGGAGCCTGTCACTTGTTCTCTGCGAGCTCAAGACAAGGCCAAAACCTAAGCCCAATAAGCCCTTCTGTAAACCTCGGAAAAGGGGACGTTGCGATCCATTGCAGGTTGTTACATATGCGAAACGCCGAACTGCGGAGAAAAAAGGGTTGCTATAAGGGTTCCTTTAAAGGTCTCTATAAGGGTTCTAGAAGGGTTTAGGGCTTAAATTGTCGAGGCATAGCACACACACCCTGAACTCGGAAACTCGGAAACATCCTGGTAACCCCTGTGAGGTTAGTGCCCGGTCATGGTGTAGGAGTACTGGTCTGCTGATTGCCCGAAAAAGTCCCCAAGAACTCGACCATCACGAATGGACCCACCAGGAGATTTCTCGATAAACCCGAAACCCCAAGCCCTGAACTCCGGACCTTCACCCCGAAACCGAGTACTAGGCCCAAACCCCTGCGTAAACCCTGAACTCTGTTACAGGATTTAGGGTTTGGGGCTTGGGGTTTGGGTAGAATCAGCAATAGTGAACCTTCATACACCCTACAGAAGTTTTTTTCACCACAGAATCACAGCATTATGTCATGAGGGCCCCTACAATACTGTTGTCGGGACTTGTATATCTTCGATAGTAGAGTCGTCAGTTTAAGCAGGAAGCTTCTGGTCAGTTAGTGCGTATGATAACCATACAAGCTTCGAGCCTCACAAAACTGGGCACGGCTCAAGTTTCTTTATCTTTAGCATCCTTTATTCTCCTAAACCCTAAACCCTAAGCCCTAAACTTTAAACCCTAAACCGTCCTATATTCTGACAAAGAAACAGCAGCCTAGATGCTGAGAGGGCCTTGAAGTGTAGCCGGGTGAAAAACAAGGCTAACCCGGCGGACACCCTCCTGGATGCAATCACAGTCGATGCCGCTGCTGTACCTCGCCTTGCTTTGGCGCACCCTAAACCCCAAACCGTTTGGGGCTCAGAGAGAGATATTTTATTTTTTTGTGCGCTCAAACGGCCACTTAAAAAAAACAAGGAGACCCTAAGCCCCTAAACCCCGAAACCCCGAAACCCCTAAACCCCTAAACCCGAAGCCCCCGAAAACACAGACTCTTCTTTAGGGTTGATGTGTGGGTCCCCTTTTTCCTGAAACTCTCATCTCAGGTGGCGCTTTCGGCACCTGCGCCCTCGAGCCAAAACTCGAAACCCTAAACCCTAAACCCTGGACTTTAGACCCTAAACTTCCCTAAACCGTAAATCCTGAAACTCTAAGCCCTGTTTAGAAATTTGTGACCTTAAACCTCAAACCCTAAATCCTGAAACCCTAAACCCTAAACCCTTGAACCTTTAACGCAAAACCCTGAACCCCTGACCTGCCTTTGACTGAGGCCATGCTCGCCAAAGGTGAGATGGAGCAGAACGGCGCGAATTTAGGGAGCTGAGTGATTACACTTTTGCACTTTTTGGGAGAATATGATCCCTTATAGAAACCCTAAACCCTAAACCCCTAAACCCCTAAACCCTAAACCCTAAACCCCTTTTTTGGGGGGCTTATGGACTCAGCAACTAAGGAATTTAGGGAGCCCGATGCAATTCGGGCAGTGGCTGGCCGTGCCTGGCCTGAAGAAACCTTGTACTTAGGAGCCCTTGGGGTTTAGGGGTCAGGAGTTTAGAAGTTTAGGGTGTAGGCGTTTAGGGTTTAGGAGTTTAGGGTTTAGGGTTTGGGGTTTAGCGTTTAGGGTGTAGGGGTTTAGGGTTCAGGGTTTAGGGTTTAGGCTTCAGGGTTCAGGGTTCTCAGGGGGGGTTCCTTTCAGTGCCCCTGAAGGGGCTCCATAAACGGTCTGTTTGAGTTTGAGGGATTCAGTAACCCTAGTACTGTTTTTGGTCCATGAACCTACGTAAACGCGCCTCTAGCTCGCCTAGCTGGTGTGTCTGTTGCTCTGCCAATCCAGCAACATGTTGGATCTGAAACCCATCATAACAGCAGAAGCTTGTCTTAATGTCGTGGGGAAGTTTCACCATGTCAGACCATACTGGCCTTTAGTGTGCCATCTTGTGTCATCTCACATTCGATGGCCACTTACAAGCCCGGAAACCTAAGCCCTACCCTAAACCCTAGACCCTAAACCACAAACCCTCAACATGTAGCCTCTTCAAAGAGCCTTTCATCTCTAGCACACCCTCAACCCGACCTATGACCTGGGCACCATACTTTGAAACCGCTTATATAATAGAAGAGAATAGAATAGAACAGAATACAATTTAATCTACTATAGGGGCCTCAGGGCTTTCAATAATTTGGGGAACGGTTTTGGCAAAATTTATATTGGGGATCCCAAGGAATAACAGTGGATAAGGTTGATGATATAAATCCTGAACTACCCATAATAAGGAAACTAATCATAACTCCCATAGTTTAGGGTCCTTAAGGTAATGCAGGATGTCTATCATCAACAGTAGGGAAATCAAGGAATAGTAGTGGATATCATTCCGGGCCCATGTAGAAAAAGTCCGGAGCAGCTCAAGAAGTTCGACCCGCAACTCGAACTGTGCAGCTCCTTTTCCCTGTACCCCGCCGCCCC